CTGTTCATGTGTCTTCTCGCAATTATCACTGGCCCCGTGTATCTCCTAATCGATATAACCGGCCTGCTCTCGTCTATCCCACATGCTCCACTGAGATCCAACATCTAGTTTCAGGTGGCCTGTGGAATTGCCAGTCAGCTGTTCCTAAGGCTGACTTCATCTCTGGCTACGCCTCCCTGCAGTCTCTGGATTTCCTTGCTCTCACTGAGACCTGGATTACTCCATCCAACACATCCACCCCAGCAGCTCTCTCCACTGCATATTCCTTCTCCCATACACCCAGACCAACTGGCAGAGGAGGTGGCACTGGTCTCCTGCTCTCTCCCAAATGGAGCTTTTCCCTCTTCAAGCTACCTAACTTCACTCCTTCCATCTTTGAATTCCATGCCGTCACAGTAACCCATCCTATACAGTTAACCATTGTTGTTCTCTACCGTCCACCAGGCGCCTTGGGGGACTTCTTGGAGGAATTAGATAATCTCCTCTCACACATCCCTGAAACTGGCCCTCCCGCTGTACTTCTCGGAGACTTCAACCTCCAGACAGGGAAGATAGACGAACTAACATCCCTGTTAACCACCTTTGCTTTCTCACTGTCTCCATCCCCACCGACTCATAAAGCTGGCAATGTCCTTGATCTCATATTCTCAAGGAACTGCGCTACTTCTAACCTCTCTGTAAACCCGCTCCACACATCCGATCACTTCTTCATTTCATTCTCTTTACCCCTTTCCAAACATAACAAACTAATCTCTTCTCATCCTGCACTTGTCCGCCGTAACCTGACTCGTTCCAACTCCTGCCTTCAAACTCTGCTGCAGAAACTCTCCTCTCTACTCTCTCATCCACTCTGGAGACTCTCTCTCCTCTCACATCTCGGCAGGCTCGTCAGTCCCCTCCTGCTCCCTGGCTAAATGATGCACTGCGTGCTAATAGAACCGTCCTTAGGGCAGCAGAGCGGAAACGGTGGAAATCCAAACACCGTGACGACCTCCTAACCTATCAGGCTCTCCTCTCCTCTTTCTCTGCTTCGATCTCTCAGGCAAAAAGCACTTTCTTTCAAGATAAGATCCAATCTTCCTATTCCAATCCTAAAAAACTATTTTCCATCTTCTCCACCCTCTTGGACCCTCCAAAAGCTCCTCCCCCCTCCTCACTTCTGTCAAGCGACTTTGTTACCCACTTTGAAAAAAAGGTTGATTATATTCGCTCTTCTTTTTCTGACTCACCTTTACTCACCGCTGGGTCACCAGACCCTCCTTCCACCAACACACTAACCTCCTTTTCCCCTCTCTCTCCAAGTGAGGTTCTTACCCTCATTACCTCTGCCCGCCCTACCACCTGTCCTCTGGACCCTATCCCTTCAAACCTCCTTCAGACTATCGCTCCTGATATTCTACCGTTTCTCACCCATTTCATCAACACTTCTCTAACTTCTGGTCACTTTCCAAACAGTCTCAAGGAGGCAAGAGTAAACCCTCTCCTAAAGAAACCCACTCTCAACCCGTCTGATGTTATAAACTACAGGCCTGTCTCTCTCCTCCCGTTCCTGTCTAAATCACTTGAACGCGCTGTCTTTAAACAACTCTCCTGTTATCTCCATCAGAATAACCTTCTGGATCCGCACCAGTCTGGTTTCAAGGCAGGTCACTCCACAGAAACTGCTCTCATTGCTGTCACGGAGGAACTGCACACTGCCAAAACTGCATCCCTCTCCTCTGTCATCATCCTGTTGGAACTGTCTGCTGCATTCGACACGGTGAATCATCAGATCCTCCTTCGCACTCTCCAAAAACTTGGAGTTTCAGGCTCTGCACTTTCCATCCTCACCTCATATCTGAAAGACTGTACCTACAGGGTGACTTGGAGAGGGTCTGAGTCCGACTCTTGTCAATTAACTACAGGGGTCCCTCAGGGCTCTGTTCTTGGTCCCCTCCTCTTCTCCCTGTACACAAACTCACTCGGATCAGTCATTAGCCCGCATGGTTTTTCATACCACTGCTACGCTGACGACACCCAATTAATTATGTCCTTTCCCCGCTCAGAGACCCAGGTCGTCGCACGCATCTCTGCTTGTCTAGCTGACATCTCTCAGTGGATGTCTGCTCATCACCTCAAGCTCAACCTTGACAAGACTGAGCTGCTCTTCCTTCCGGGAAAAGATTGTCCCACTCTTGACCTAATAATCAACATCGGCACCTCAGTTGTTTCCCCGACTCAGACTGCAAGGAATCTGGGTGTGACCCTAGATAACAACCTGTCCTTCACTGCAAACATAGCTGCTACAACCCGTTGCTGCAGATACACGCTTTACAACATCAGGAAGATACGTCCCCTCCTGACCCAGAAAGCGACGCAGGTTCTGGTCCAGGCTCTCGTCATCTCACGCCTAGACTACTGCAACTCCCTCCTGGCTGGTCTACCTGCATGTGCCATCCGACCTCTGCAGCTCATCCAGAATGCAGCGGCTCGTCTGGTCTTCAACCTTCCTAAATTTTCCCACACCACTCCGCTCCTCCGCTCCCTTCACTGGCTTCCGGTAACTGCTAGAATCCACTTCAAGACACTGGTACTTGCTTACCATGCTGCAAATGGATCTGGCCCTTCGTACATCCAGGACATGGTTAAACCGTACACCCCAGCGCGTGCACTACGCTCTGCATCAGCCAAACGACTCGCTGCGCCCTCGCTGCGAGGGGGACCCAAGTTCCCATCAGCAAAAACACGTGGGTTTGCTATCCTGGCTCCAAGATGGTGGAATGAGCTCCCCATTGACATCAGGACAGCAGATAGCTTACACATCTTCCGGCGCAGACTGAAAACTCATCTCTTTCGACTCCACTTCGAGCGATAGAACTATTAACAAAGCACTTATATACTAATAAAGGACTGGCTTATCTAAAGCCAGTTGAGTAGCACTTGAAATATTTGGCTCTATGAAACCTGATGTACTTATATGATTCTGTTTTCTTCAAGGTTGTGTCTTCCTGGTCGAATGTACTTATTGTAAGTCGCTTTGGACAAAAGCGTCAGCTAAATGCAATGTAATGTAATGTAATCAACGCACAATCAACCCACACAGGACATCTCTTTCTCTACATTAAGTGTTAGACATTAGAATTGACTATTCTTGTCTGTCACATACTCTTCTTGTCTGTCACATAAGTGGCGCAACTGAAGCGGTATTGCGCTAAAGGGAAATTATTTTGACCGAAGAGATTTAGATTTGCCGGCAAACGGGAACTCTAACGTCGCCATTTGTGTGCTTCGCGGATGCGCTCGGCTCCTCTCGACTGCTGCTCGGGTCTGCTCGGTCAGCTTCCGGATGAGGAGGCATTCGTTCGACCAATTTACAGTAGATAACATTACAAACGTTTTTTTTTAAATAACGTTTGTTTTGGCAGTTATAACTGAAGTAATGGTTTCTACTTTTTTACATCTGGGAAGGCATTTGCCTTCATCAGATGGAAAGTGTCTTGACCAACAACTTAAGTATTTCTTAAAGCTATGCAGGGCATGCAAGGGAGCAAACACAAACAAGAACAAACAAACAAGTGAAATGAAGAATAAAATTGAAATTGTACAATATAATATTGTGGTGGTTCATCTTATAATTCAGTCTAGAGAATGCACCAGACAGCATCTAAGACCTGCAAAAATCTAAATGTTCTAGGGGGAGGCCCCCCCAAACCCGCACGCATTTTTCAGGGCAATCTCTATTGGGCTCAGGGCCATCTGTAAATTAGCTTAGACAGGGCCATCTCCCAAAATCCTTAATGTCATGCACTGCTGGCCCTCGACTAGTACCGATTTTTTAAATGTTGGCCCACTGTGTATTTGAGTTTGACACCCCTGCATTAGTGTATTAGTGTGTACAGTACTTGAGTAAATGTACTTAGTTACTTTGCACCCCTGCTCCCACCTGTCTCTGCTCCTCCAGGGCTCGCAGGCGGCGGCTGGCGGAGGACAGCAGGGTCTCCAGCTCCAGCTGCAGGGTGTCCAGCTCCTCGATGCCGATGCCATCGTCCTCTGACCGGCCGAGCACCGCAGTGTATCGGGGACACACCTTCACATGCTCCACAGGTTTGAAGTCGTAGTATTTCAGTGGGGGACAGTCCTTCAGCTCACTCATGATGCTGCTGTGAGAGCTGCCAGTGTCTCCAGTAACTGATACAAGAACATGTCAGTATGGGTGTATTATCATAATAAAAACACAAGAAGGTGAGACATGCACATTGTGGTACAGTTGTGCTGCTTTAGGTCTATCTATCATCCCACACACGCATGAAACACACACTCACGCACGCACACACACACAAATGCACGTACACGGAGGTCTGCATCACAGGACGCGAGCTCGCTGGGCCCAACTTACTCTTACATTTTAATAACGGTCGCTATGATTTATTATTTTTGTACAAACACATTTTACATGACTTACTTTTAATATTACAAGTCATAAAGGGAACTAACCCAACACATATATGTATATATTTGAATGTATAAGAGCAGCGATATTTACCGTCAGTGAATGGCGTCCATGATGGGATAAACCATTGTAACTAGAGGAGGGGTGTGGTGTACAGTCAAATAAAGGTATAGCTTATTATCGATTTAAGAATAATTGTGAGATCAAACAAAGTATATTCATTGCTAAAGTACTTATATACTCACTTATATAGACATACATAATAACAAATATCAAGAATTTGGATGTGGTTGTATGTTAGCTAAATGCCAGAATGGTAGCACCGGAATAAACCATTTTATGTCACGGTGCATACAAACAATTTACAGCTAAACACATCACAGTAAAATGTCACTCGGTACTATCTAGGTTAAAACTCTGTTTTTAACGTATTTTATTGAACAGAAACATGTTAAAATTAGTCTAATCCTTTCTGAACCAACGGTCGCTGACAAATGTGTCTCCTGCTGATAGCGCAGAATGGACTCATCGTAGGGTGTGCTCCTTTTAAACAAAACCATCTCCACCCGGGCGGAGTGATAGGTGCAATTAGCAGCATTTCTGGTGTGCGGAGAAATCACAGATGAAAAACCAGCGCACCTTATCTGAACCAGACGATGTAGTAGGATTTACGGAAGAGGAGTCCCAGGCGTGGCTGAGGAACTTCCGTCTTTTACAGCAGAAAAATGGTAAGTCTAATGCCCTAAATGTCTCTTTATATTCCTTAATTTAGCCATTTATGTCAGCTAACCGTGGTTACACTGAAGGTGAGATTAGCTAGGTGGCTTCGTGTTTCTCTTGGACGGGTTTTCTGGTGGGTTTCGGTGAAATGAGAGGACGGGCATCCTTGACACGGTTTGCCGAAACTAAAGTGATCGAGCTGAGCTGTCTTTCCTCTCGGCCCCTATTCTCCTATTGCTGCTAGCTGTCATTGATACAGATATGTCAATATACTGTTGACACCTTGTGTATATGTTCGGTATAGACAGCGTGAAGTAAATAGACGTAAATCATTTAGATCCGCCGCAATATCTAATTCAGTACCGTTAATGTAAGCGAATGTATTTATGTTTTAATGACCCCCACATCAATGCAAACACCTTTCATCAGCTTGATGTTGATTATCATCATGTTTTCTTTCTAAAATGATTGTTGTATCTACAAACTGTAAAGATAAATGCATATGTGTTGTAACTGACTGCATACAGCTCATTTCGCTTCCTGATCAAACATGACCTCACAGTCCGGTTGAGTCACCCACACTGTACTGGGAACTTTAGCCTGATCTTAATAACAAAAGCACCACCCATCAAGATCTTGTCTTTTATTTCTCCTCAGACAGCGACTCTGCGCCCCTACCTAAACGCAGTGAGGGCCACCCTGCAGGCGGCCGTCTGCCTGGAGAACTTCTCCTCTCAGGTGGTGGAGCGCCACAACAAGCCGGAGGTGGAGGTCAGGTAGGTTTGATGGCATGTCTTTAGAGATTTCAGTCCTACTGCTTATCCCCCTGCATAGCAGTTTCTTAGCCCTTAGGCTGTTTTGCAGATCTTCTACAGCTGTCACACAAGTATGGACTTGTGCAAACTTGCATCTAGGAGGGGGAAAAAATGACACAAGCATGGGCAAGGCTGTACAATTTGCCAGCGGGGACTTGCTCTGCTTTGTTTGCAGATGTCTCCCAAATGCAATGCAATGTAAAGATTAAGACATTTAAAGTCAGTTTTGTGGTTATTTAAAGCACCATGTAAAGTCCCAAGCACAATGCTGACCCTTAGTGTCTAGAAAACACAACCGTTTATAACAGACAGGCCTGGATTTATGTTTAACAGCTGGATTGTGCTGTGTTTACAGGAGCAGTAAGGAGTTGCTACTTCAGCCTGTGGTGATCAGCCGTAATGACAAGGAGAGGGTTCTCATCGAGGGATCCATCAACTCTGTCAGAGTCAGCATTGCTGTCAAGCAGGTGATTTAATAACAGCAGCATTTATACTGTTTTTGTCTAACGGCTGTGCACATTTCCTGATTTTATTGGACAACCGAACATGCAGTAATAAAAAACGTCTTCCCTGTAGGCTGATGAGATTGAGAAGATCCTTTGCCACAAGTTCATGCGCTTCATGATGATGAGGGCAGAGAACTTCTTCATTCTGAGGAGGAAAGCAGTAGAGGTAAGAAAAGATAACAGAATTAAAGACAGCAGTGACAAAAGAGGAACAATGTGAACCGTTCCAACGTCAAAGGGCGGCCCATGCGCCGATCTCTTAGAATCAATATACCAACTTAAAATGCCTTAATATTTACAATGTGTATTTCCATGATTATAATTACACAAGTGACATTTGAGGTGTAAAGCAGTTTCTCTCTCTCTGACTCACTTTCCTCCCTTGCACTGTGATTTCAGGGATATGATATTAGCTTCTTGATTACCAACTTCCACACGGAGCAGATGTACAAACACAAGCTGGTGGACTTTGTCATCCACTTCATGGAGGAGATCGACAAAGAGATCAGCGAGATGAAACTGTCCGTTAACGCCAGGGCTCGTATCGTTGCTGAGGAATTCCTCAAAAACGTAAGAATGTCTCTTGCTAATATTTTTCTTTTTGGATACAACAGAAAGACAAATCATGGTAAATTGTGTACAAATGTTCAGTGATGATAACATTGAGAATGATTTGGCTCCACAGTTCTGATGACAGTGTTGGTCCCACACAAGCCGTGAGAACGCTCCAAAGGGCCAATCAGCACAGGAGTGGAGTAATCAGCGAGGAGATGAGAGGAACGTGACCAATCCGGAGATGATGACACCATTTGCACCCGTCTCCAGTATTTCCCTGTACTCATGAATATCAATGACTGTATATAATGAAATATTTACCAGTTTCATTTTACGCCACTTAGAACAAATCCCCAAACAAAGGCGGGTCCTTAAAGTATTAATCCAGTTGATAGTCATGAGTACAGGGGCACTGAGAACGCAGTGTTGCAAATAAAAACGGCCATGTTGTTTTGTATTTTGTGTGTGACTCTGCGTGTTCACCGTCACTGTTGTTTCAAATTCGTCTCCAAAATGTCTCTGTTCAGGAAAGAGTGGCGTTTAGTCGCAGACACGGAGAAAGAGCTGTCTGTAGAGAAGCCAACAAAACACATGTATGAAAATAATGAGAGATAATAAAGCCAGTTGTTTATAACTTTCTGTGTAACTGTTGCAGTCTTTCAGGGTAAGCATTTGTACTGTACCTAAAAACCATAGACTGTATATATAAAGCTAAAAACAGATGTGCTCTGCTTCTGAGGAAGTTGTTTTTAGTTTGCACTTCGACCACAGCTCAGCTTTACACACAGCCACTGTATTATTTCAGCTGAGGAAGGGGAAGTTATTCAGCAGACTGTGCAAAAGCATTTTTAGCTGTTCAGCAGTTACGTAACCCAAATGATTTAATTTAAGATTATAGAAGTGGCAGTTTCAAAATGAGAGTAAATAATGTCACTTTTATTTCCTCAGAGGTATTTGATGATCTCGCTATATCTCCACACACCCCTGCTGCACAAGGCGTGTACTGCACTGACCCTAATAACAGATCCTTATTTTATTAAACTCAACCAATGTGAGAATTCAGAGGATGAACTTAATGGCATCATTTTTGATTTATGAAAATGGCAAATAGACTTATTTTCGGGAAACCAGTGTTGGGAGTAGCACTCCTTAAAAGGTAGGGTAGGTAAGAATGGAGAAACCAGCTCGAGTGCGCTAGAATTTGAAAGTACGCAGCCGAAAAAAATCTGCCCCTTCCTTCAGACTTCCTTACAGAGCCCCTCCTCCAACACACACGAACGCGCACATGACCAATGAGGGCACGAGATACATTTGTGCACGAGATGGAAGGCAGGTAGGCCATCCAGTTACTTTAGCCGGGCCGGCTCAGATGATTGGTCGTGCTTTTTACAGTACCACGGCTTCCACAGATGATATTTTTTAATGTATTTATTGTCAAAGCATTTAATGTATTCATTGCTATCGGGATGTTAAGAGTATTCCATGGAATATAACAAAAAGTGTTTCTGAAGTGAATTACCTACCCCACCTTTAAGTATAAGTACAAATACTATGGTCATAATTCTGGTACTCCACAACAAGTCCTGATTTCAAAATACTACATAAGTGATAGTATTAGCATCCAAATGTATTTAAAGTACAAACATTTTACTTACAAATTCTCGTCCAGCACAATGACCTATTTCAGAACAATAGAAAATACAGAAGAAATATCAGCTAAATGCACAACAAATCTTAAGAGGACCTCAATTGTGAATCTGTCTATTATTTATTATTGCACACTGAATACTTATATTCCTAGACAGTCGGTAGGACAAATAAAACGTTGTTGCGTAAAGTACAGGCAGATTAATAGCAATTGAAATGATCATCAGTGCAACCCTAATAGTTAAACCCATAAAGACAAAGATGAGATATAAAGCTCTGAGCTAATATTGCATTTTCCATACCATATCATTTCATTTAAATAGAATTAACCCACCTGTATAAAATGTTACGTTTGTTTTTAACAACAGTGAGAATCACCATTAATTTCTTCATTAAGTCACGACATAATCGAAAGCTTTGTATCGATTCTTTAAGGCTTACCTTTAAATTGCACGTTACAACTGAAGATACGTCACATTAAACAAGGTTGCATCATGTGTAGCTGAAAGATCATTAGCTAAAACAACATGATTAATACTTCACCCTTCAGATTGAATTCCTGAATATAGCAACAAAGAATCTGTGATTGATAAATAACGTAACGTAAATAAAGTGCCAGACTTTGTAGCTTGCAAATAAAAACACTGAGGCTCAAACACAAGATATGTTCAAGTTAAGCTCCCTCAAATAAAAAAAGAAGGATATAAGGGTTACTGTGTGTGTGTGTGTGTGTGCGTGTGTGGCAGTGGGGTTGAAGGAGTAGTCGGCACATCACTGACGGTCATCAATAAGGGCAGGTTTTGAACGATGGAGAAGTGAAACGACCACCAGTCCACAGAGAGGCAGGGAGGGGTCTCTCTGTCAGAGGTGAGGGGAGTTCTCTCTGTCAGAGGTGAGGGGGGACGGTGAGCAGGGCGTCTTGAGTCGAACGATGGATGTTCACATTCTGGAGAGAGGAAGGACTCAGTGTTAGATTCCTTTTGGATAAACTGGGCTCTGGTTCCCGTCAGAGGGTGAAAAGAGGCAGCAATGAGAAGAATAAAGAGCTTTTTGAACAGTAAAGCATGGAAACACGTCCCAGTACAGGCAGAAAAGCATAATAGGGCCCCTTTAACAGAAAAGTTTCACGGAGTGTCATCATGGATGGTTAACTGTCGTGCCCAGAACAAGCCCTCCCTCTTTGTAGGAGAGGCGGTGGGGCTTTACATAATTGTGCAGGAGCTCATTGTCTCATAATCCGCCCATGCATGTCTAACTGTATGACCTGTGGTTTTTGAAATAGATAACTTATTTTTGTGGATGTACTGTAGCCTGTATTTGCCATATTAGAAAATGAGTTATTAGAAATCTAAATGGGGTCAGTCATGATTTGGCCTCGTTGAAACTGTACTGGATGTTTCCGGTTATTTTATTAAAGTGCAGAGTAGCAGACCTGTTTCATATTTAACAGATGCTGACATAACATCAAGCATCCCATGGTGGCAGCACTATATAATTATATACAAATTACACTTTGAATTCCTATTTTTCCTGATGACACACCATGTAAACATACGGGTCTAACATTTGCTTAATTTTTTAATCACTACAAAATAGTCTTTTTTTTCTTCTAGAACTGATTAACCCTTTAACCAATGTCCCAGTATCACTAGCTTTAAGCATTTTGTTATCACTCTGAATTGAGGCAGAATATATGTGTGTGACAGTGAGGGTTTTGTTCAGGCTGATGAATGGCAGCACCCAGTGGAGTCTTTGCATATGAATGAATGGAAATCTGAGTCTTCAGTTTGCAGCGTAAGCAGGAAGTGCTGCACTGAACATCTGAGGAGAGCACCAATAGGAAGGAAGTCATCAGTCTTTTGATCTCTAGCAGTATGAGTTACAAAATGACCATCTCAGTACTTTAGTGTAAGATTCACTTTCAGAAATAATGGAGGAACACATTTTCTAAAATGAATCACACGAAGAGGGGGTACGAAAACATGAAATTATAGAGGAGTTTATTTAGAAACAAACACAAGTATCTCCTCTCAGGTCTGATCAGAGACATGAATATACTGTAAGAACCTTCACATACAATAAAACATAAAGTGTGTCTGTACTTCATTAGACAACGTTAGACATCCTAAAGACAAACTAGTAATGAGGCCATTTAACAAAAGTGCAAAATATTTTAAAAAAAGGCACACAAATGTTTAGCGTTGTGCAATTACTGACTTACCACAGAAAAACATTGCTAAAAGTTAACATTGTAAAAATCTTAGGGCCGGGACTTTAACGCGTTAATTAAACCAAAATTAACGCGTTAAAAAAAATTAACGCATTTTAATCGCACTTATTTTTGCACCGCGGAACGTTTCTCACTGGATGAGTTTCAGGCGTACCGATTATACTGGAGCACCAACTAACGTTCATGACTTCAGACAACAACAAACCACAGTGCACAACAGTGGGAAATGTTGTTTTAAAAAACGGACGGATGGAAGCGTCGATAAGAGCACGGTTGTGTGCAAATTATGCAAAAAGGAATTCGCATATCACCGCAGCACATCAAGCCTCAAGTATCACCTCAATGCAAAACATATAGCAGCTAGCGTGGACGCTAGCCTCTTTTACCGCGTTCACACCAAAAAGAGCCGGTACTAGAATTAGTTCATGAGAACCTTTTTACCCGTACGAAAGTCCCTGCTAGAGAGCAGAGAGCTGCTAGAGAGCAGGGACTTTCGTACGGCTCTCTTGTGAGAAAAGAGCTATATGTCTGATTGGCTGGGCGGATTGCAAACCACGCCCCGTAAAACTCCCAAAAAGTTTTGTGAAGCCGCCATTTTATTATCCTCGCATTAGCATTATTAGCATTAGCCCAGCGCAGAAACGCAGAGAGACTAACTTATGGCGACACAAAATAAAACATGGGAGCGGTGGAGATGAGGAGGTGTCGGCGTTCTGGCGATTTACTCGGAAGGCTTCAGTAGAAGCTGCTGGGACTCCCAGCCAGTCCCCAACTCCGGGGACTTCCGGCCGGGGACTTTGGGTGATTTGCGGCCTGCCAGTAAACCCAAAGCAGAAGAAGAAGAAGTGACGTCAGCGGCTTCATTTGCCTAATCCACCCCCAGGTTCAAAGAGTTCTCATGAACTAAGTTCTCATGAACCTTCGTGGGAAAAGTACTGCGGTGTGAATGCGCCTAATGGTATACTAAAATCCATGTGAAAAAAATTGCTTCTCACTGTTCTCAGGTCAAATATTTATATGTGATTAAAAATGCGATTAATTTCGATTAATTAATTACAAAGCCTCTAATTAATTAGATTAATTTTTTTAATCGAGTCCCGGCCCTAACATATCTGTTAAACAGACTAGATCAATGAGAAACCAAACATCACTAAACACAAAGAGGTGCCAGAGAGTCATTGCTTCACAGTTGCTAAAACGGCATCAGTTTAAAAAAAAAAAAAAACCTTCATCTGCTTTCCATTCACTCTCCAAAAATGGGAGAATGGGCTCGAGACAATATCTGTGTCTTACAATTAATGATCAAAATTAGAAACTGGATTCCAGTCAATTACCAACATCATCATCCTCATCATCATCACGTCTTACAGAGAAGAAACCAGGGATTCGATCAGATTGGGTGGAGGAGAAAGCGTTTGTGATTCTGAAGGTGACAGTGTTTGTATAGAGGGCTTAAAGGAGGGGGGGGGGGGGCACTGCCTCATTGGTGAGCTGGCACTGTTAGCAAAGCCTCCTTTGACATCCGCGACACTTCTACGTTCTGTTTGATAAACAACAAAAAACACAAGGGGGGGGGGGTCAAAACACATGGGAGAGATCACTGCACAGACCGGGCCGTTCAGTACGGAGGCGTGTTTGTGTTTACCGTTTCCTCTGACAATTTGTTTTGCCGAAAAATACTAACTATCCCACAAAGAGGCTTTAGGTATTGGAAAGTTATCGGACAATCCCAAACTCCACCTGTAAATGAGTGTATCGATTCTCATCATATAACTTTATCCATTAAAAAAGTATGTAAATTTCAGTTCATAACATTTTCCATTAAAGCCAACATTTGCATTTAGTCTAAATTAGTACTTTCATCGTAGCTTTTTAGCATTAAACCCTGTGGAGGCATATTCATCTAAAGGGTGTAAGGGGGAAAATGTGTAGCCTTTATTTTAACACAACGGCATCGGTCTTCAAATGAAAGGTTACGTTGTATTTCTACCTACAATCATTCAAACCCATGTCTAATCTAGAAAACAGCAGACATTTGAGTGTGATGGACATTTACAGGAGCGGTTGCAAAAGCCTAGCAGCCTTTAAACATTAGATTTAAAACAAAAAGAGCTTTGCAAAAAAAAAAGGAAATGCCATTAAAGATCTTCTGAGTTTTTATTATGATTATCAAAGAGATGCTAAACCATGGTTACAAAAAGTTACAACAATTTCTGTTCCTGCCAGAGAGGAGTTGGTCCCAAAGGTTGGCTTCTGTATTCACACCCTACAACTAGAGGATTCATGGAGTGAAGAGTGTGTAGGGTTTGGTTTGGAATGGGTCTTCTTATTGTGTGTACCTGTGTGTGTGTGTGTGTGTGTGTGTGTGTGTGTGTGTTGTTATACCCACCTCTGGTCGTTCTCTGTGTGTGTTGACTGATTCCACGTTTAAGCTGATGGACTCCACCTTACAGCCTACAAAGGATGCAGATAAAACATTAATCGACTTAGTTCATGCAGCATAAGAGGGATTTTGTATTCCTGTTAATCAGAGATACATGTATTGTGAATTAGAGGCCAACAGGAAAGCGGTCGTACCGTAGGCCACGGGCGTCAGCTTCAGCACGGTGTGCAGCGGGCACTTCAGGTAGGGCAGCTCCTCTGAGGGGGAGAGACACACGGGTTCAGGACACTACATCTATTCATCGGTCATATTTGTGGTTTTTCTAGCAAGGACAGGACTGGTTAGAGAAAGAGATTACTGGTGTTAACAATAAAGCTTGTTACCGTGTGTGGAATACAATATTTTGACTAGGTGTAATTTATCTGCCTGTTCAACCTCGAGATAATCTCATTATCTGATTTGTAATCTTTACTTAAGGGTAGGGTAGGTAAGAATGGAGAACCAGCTCGAGTGCGCTAGAATCTGAAAGTACACAGCCGCTCCTTCCTTCAGACTTCCTTACAGAGCCCCTCCTCCAACACACACGAACGCGCACATGACCAATGAGGGCACGAGATAAGTTTGTGCACAGATGGAAGGCTGACCGGCAGGTAGGCCATCCAGTTATTTTAGCCGGGCCGGCTCAGATGATTTACAGTACCACGGCTTCCACAGATGACATTTTGGATGTATTTATTTAGTGTTTCTGAAGTGAATTACCTACCCCACCTATAACTTTTTTGCAAAATATTCCACCTTCATGTGCATGTGAATTTACCTTTCTTTCAAGTTTCTTTATTTACTTCAACTTTGTGATTTCCTACATTTCCACTTCTGATTAAGTTACCTTAACAGCTTATGTGCTTGTGTCTTTGAGTGATTTAATCTTAACGACCCCAGGGCTTCTCTGAGGTGTCGTTGAAGCACTGACCTGCCGTCTTGTCCAGGAAGTAGGCCAGCAGGCAGCGCATGACGGCCTGGTGACAGATCACCAGAACGTTCTCCTGCCGCTCCAGCTCCATGATGACCGGCTCCAGCCGCTGCACCAGGTCCTCGTACGACTGAAGCACAAGACACAAAGGAAAATCTGAGCAAAATGTGATATTAGGATGGTAATTATAATCGATAGAAGGCTCTATCCATATTTTTTCTTATGAAAGAGCCCATTAAAACCCATAGAGTTGAATTTAATGATTAAATACAACAGAGAAAGACCTGTAAATCTGTTAAAACGTAAACAATATTTTTTCTTTCCCACATTCGGCTAAATAATTAATCTAGGTTAAACAGATTGACATTTAAGCGTGTGGAAAAATCAATACAGGCCGTCTAGACCAGCTCTAGCAGGATTCCCTAGAGCATCCCTGCAGCAGCCGCTAATGCCTGCATCCATCTTCCTGTGGTTCATTAACGGAGAGGTAATGGTATGGACTCAATGTGAGAACAGACCGGCAGGCATTCAGACACGCAGCAGACAGTAAACACACATCTCTCAGACTAATGCGAAGAGGTCTTTGTTTACTGTAATCCAAATCAGTTTAAAAGGCTGGAGCCGAGGCTCATTAGCAAAGAGTGCACTCACTCAGTATCTGGAAGCACTTTAATAGTTTTTTGTGTGTACATGTACGTTTCTATGAGGGTGTGCTATTCAAATCACAAAGGAGGGCCGTTTTGAGACATTCCACATTTCAAACAATGGCACACTGTCCACCAGCTGCTGCAACGTTTTACAAAAAGTAGAGCTGTAACCAAATAGCTGAAAGCTTAAATCATACTTCAATCATGGATGTCAACACTCTTTCGGGTGCAGCCATTATTATACAAGTATATACTATTTGAAAGATTGTTTCCCACTCATCGTAGGATCGCAAAATAATTCTCAACTCTATAGCCATGTTTAGTACAAAAAAGAAGCACCACTATTTTTCAACTCATCTTGTAATCGATCTACGCCATGGAAACTGATTGCTTCAAAATGTGATATTTTGGGCTCCTAAAACAACACAATTAAATACTTTGAGAAACTGCGACGTTACAGACAAATGATAAATTGAGAAGGTATTTGGCAGATAACTTAAAAACAACATCACAAACTGTTTGCCCTTCATTTAAAACCTCACCAGAAGCCCTGACACACACAACACACCCCTCCCATCATCAGAGAACACATAACGACACTGAGTTCCCACTGACCTCTCCTTTGGGGTACCGATAGCGGTATTTGTCCTGGTCCCTCAGAGCAAACTCTGAGGGATAGTGATCCTGGATCTCCTCGTACATCATCTCCTCACACACGCCCTACCATGACATCACACACACAGATTACACTTCATTAGCATCGCACACGTCAACAAACAACTGTTCTCAGCGGTCCAGTACAAACCACTCACTGCGTCGATCTCGTTCAGGACCTTCCACTGCTCGTAGGGCACGTTGAGAGCCTCGGCCGTCTGGATGGTCCGCTTCATCTGACTGGTCCACACCTTCAGGTCGCTGATGCCCTGCGTCTCCAGGAACTGGCTCAGCTTCTTCCCAAACTGCAAAACAAAGGTCATATTAAATCATCAAGTTAGGTAAAGCTCAAGAAATATCTCTAATTGAAGACGTTTGACGTACTGCTTTCCCTCTCGGTGTGAGGCCCGAGTCTCCTCCGATTCGCCCGTTGACGTTGAGCTCGCTCTCCCCGTGGCGGCACAGGTAGATGGAGCGCGGCGTGATGTGGATGTTCATGAGGTAGTAGACGATCCGGCTCTGGATGTGGTCCAACACTCGGTTCACCATGTACCGCTGACCCACGTCCATGATTTTAATGTAGGAGAGGTTCCTGAGGGGAGAACACGGACACTTTAGATACATTGCTAATCAAATTGAGATTTTCTTTAAAGAACAAAAAGGGCAAAAAGATCTGATTCCAGAGAAAAGTTGTGGTTTCTTTACTCTTCTATCAAAGTAAACTGAAGGTCTTTAAGTTGAGGATAAAATAAGACAGCTTAGGTTTGGGATACACTAAATACTCAGCATTTTAAAAGACCAAACAGCTCTAGCCCCATCATTCAAAATGACAGAATAAACTTGAAAATGGCTAAAATGCTAAGCTAGTTATTCCGATAATGCTTCATAGCTAGGACGTCTAACAACCCTCTCTCCACAGCAGCTTGTCCTCACCTGTCCAGGACTTCATCCAGCGTCTCGTAGGAGTTTTCATAACACTTGATCCTCTTCAGGAAATCCTCGACTGCTTCCTCCGTGTTACAGTTGGTGTAGTCCGGGCTACTTAGCTTCACTTGCTAAAAAAGGAAACGGCGTGGAGTGAGTACAAGATGGACTGAAGCTCCTTATCCTTTTTGATCAAATGAACAGATAAACTCAAACACGTACCACTATGTTCTCCTGTATGACATCTGGGTCTTCACATACAGACTCCACAAAGAACACCTGAGAGAAGATGATGCGGAGGAACTTAGTGTGGATGTGAATAAAGCAGTATACTGTATGTTCTCCCAGAATATGACGCACCACTTTACCTTAAACCCGTTCTGCTCTGCAAACTGGATGATGGTTTCCCTTCTTTCTCTGGTGGTGTTTGTTGCATCAAAAACCTGTTTACAGACAGAAGAAAAACAGATAAGATAGTTAGCATTGCACTGTGTTTCAACAACACTTTGAACAGAATTAGACATTTGACTTACCGCCACTTGGCCTCCTTCTTCTGTGAGATACTGCCGCACATCGTTCAACGCTGCTGAGGCACACTGTCTGTAAAGATCACAGATATCAGTTAATGATTCACATGGTTGGTGACTTAATCAAAAGTTCAGGCTGAGGCCACTCTTACCGTCTGATCTTTAACCCCTCCTCGTTGTCTGGACGGAAGAACTCAAAGGACTTGTAGATCTTCACAAAGTCTCTCCTGTACTGCCCCACATTGAACTCTATGGGAGAAATGGAGATCATCTTTGTCTTAGCTGGTGACACTCACGCTGAATTTGTTTATTATATTCTCTAGAATGAATTGAGTACCTCTGGTGGGAACTCCGATCCAGTTGAGATAGCGGGTCAGCTTCTTGGAGATGTAGGTCTTCCCCCTGGCAGGAAGCCCCACCGTCACTATCAGCGTGGGGCAGTTGGTCATACATACTGGAAAGGAAATGGAGAAAGTGTAAGTCATGTTCTAATCACATAACAGATCCAATCTCAGTGTAAAACGCCCTCCTTATCAATTGATAATTTTCAGTTACAAATGTGCCTGCATTGGTTGTAAAATCTTCCTGTACCCGGTCTGGCACATTATCGATGCATGAAATAATGAGTAATCTGCCATTAAGTCACATCACACCACCCTGAGTGTCTAATCAGACAGGAGCAGAGGTCACGGTGGCACCAGGCTGAGCAGTTGTGTAACGCTGTTCACATTCAGACGCAGTGTGTGCACAGATGACTGGGTCAGAGAGCAAGATCTTTTCAATGGGTACTTCTTTATATGCATTTTCTGGTAAAATAATGTCCATGTTTGTAACACTTCCTGTCTGTAAAAGGCATGGAAAATGACTTCGGAGGAGGGAATAACACTGTGGCAGGTTTAGTGCATGCATTACATACAATACCAAAAGCACCTTTCACAACTTCATCCATGAGTGTGTAATAGACTTTGACAACCAACTTTACTCCACCCAAAGAGACCATATTAAAGTCTAATTGATTCAAACAATCCTGTGTCAGTCAGTCCACAGTGATGAGCCACTGACTGTACAGAAAAGTGACCGAGGTGAGATAAAACAGCAGCTCCACGGGGGGCAAATCATCCCTCACATGACTGATGGGATACAATTCCTGTTTACCAACAGCTAGCCATGGCACCAGTAACAAAGAGGTGAACTCTCCCAGTGCCAGCCCTTTCTCCTCCATGCGAGCAGCCTTCATCATGTGAAGCCTTACATAACTGTGTGAACCAGATGGCTGCGGAAACAGCAAGACATCTGAGGACTGAGGTCACGCGTTAAAGCCAATGTGAGCTAACATAACACTCAGATGTATGTAGTGGTGGAGAGAGCATTCAACAAAACATGTACACTTTAGGCTTTTTGTGGCCCATCATGGAAGGGAGCACATATTCTTTGAGAAAAAGTACTTATACTATTCTGTAAAAATACTCAATTTAAACCAAAAGTACTGCATCAAGAATAGTACTTCAGCAGCACATCTTCACAATAAACTGTGAAATATTTAACAAAAACAATCTTAATTACAATTAAAACATTGTTGTTAACCCACACACGGTTTTAGATACTTAAATATAACGTTGGATGGTTTGATATATATAAAATAAATCACATTTAAACGATGTTCCTAGGTAATGTATGTCAACATCTGAATTAATAAAGTAACCAGTAGCCTAAATACATTATAAAATAACCTTAGTAAATGTTCCAAAATGTAGTAGAGTACAAGTATAAAGTAGTATAACATGAAAATACTTGGGTAATACGTCAAAAGTTTATTTGATTAACTACTTTTGCATCACTGGATCCATGCTACACGCAGGTGGACCTATTTGAATTAGCAACGTGCATTTAAATGGGAACAACACGGAAACCAATGACAGATATGTAATTCAACCTCCCCCGCTGTTGTCAATAACGCAGTAACTCAGATACCGACGCTAACAGCTGACGCCACGTCTTCATACGCACCCTTTCTTTGAGAAATGTGTTTTTCAGGAAGGCCATTTTTACACGGCATCCATATCTTCTTCAGGGGGTTTTGGGTGAGTTCCCGCGGTTTGGACGGTGTTTTGTCCTCCATACTGTCTTGAGGCGAGGTGGAGGTGGAGGCTGCCGCGGCGGGAACACGGGGCCTTTTCCCCGAATGCTGCTCTGAGTGTGACCGGTGTTTCATCCGCGCTGCTCTGCGGGATGGAGAAGATGACACAGCTCTCCTCACAGCTGTCCCGGTCACGTGATCGGGGCTTACCAACGGTCGGCCGTAATAACCGCAGCACGGGCGCAGCACAACTTCCGGTTTACCGTAAATGACGACAGCTGTGTTGAGTGCGCAGCGACATAACACATTTTAGCCAGTAGTGTAAAGTAACCAAGTACATTTACTCAAGTACTCTACTTAATTTCAATTTTCAGATACTTGCACTTTACTTTAGTATTATAATTTGTTGCTACTTTGTACGTCTACCTTACAACAATTCAGAGCTGAATCATACTTTGACTCCACTAAATGTATACCTTCAGTTCCTTTACAGATTTTGACTAATAATGTGAAATATCAACAACCCTGTGAGACTGACCGTTGAGCGGCCCAGACCAAGCAAGGAGGCAGAACGTCCAAAAATATAACCCGACGTGGGCATTTATTCAACTTGAGCACAGGACACAGCCTCAATCCTGCTGTTCCTGTGCACACATCCTACCAGCCACAAGAGGCGCTTTCACACTGCGGTACTTTTCCCACAAAGGTTCATGTGAACTTATTTCATGTGAACTCTTTTATCGCGTTCACACCAAAAAGAGCTGGTACTAAAATTAGTTCATGTGAACCTTTTTACCCCCTCGAAAGTCCCTGCGAGAGAGCAGGGACTTTCGAGCAGCTCTTTTGTGAGAAAAGAGCTATATTTCTGATTGGCTGGAAGGATTGCAAACCACGCCCCGTAAAACTCCCAAAAAGTTTTGTGAAGCCGCCATTTTATTATCCTCGCATTAGCATTATTAGCATTAGCATTAGCCCAGCGCAGAAACGCAGAGAGACTAACTTATGGCAACACAAAATAAAACATGGGAGCGGTGGAGATGAGGAGGTGTCGGCGTTCTGGCGATTTACTCGGAAGGCTTCTACTGAAGCCAGTCCCTAACTCCGGGGACTTCTGGCCGGGGACTCCGGGTGGCAGTATACGCCGTGAAGTGGTTTGCGGCCTGCCAGTAAACCCAAAGCAGAAGAAGAACAAGTGACGTCAGCGGCTTCATTTGCCTAATCCTCCCCCAGGGACTTTTTCCAGTGTGAACGCGATCTGTACTTAGTTCATGCGAACTAAAGAGTTCACATGAACCTTTGTGGGAAAAGTACCGCAGTGTGAATGCGCCTAAGGATCTCACACACTACCAGCCTCCCAACAGACAGGGAAACGGAGCCTAAATACACACACTAATCAGCACAACAAGCCACAGGTGAGGGGGGGAGGAGACAACACAGGACACCAGGTGCACACAATTACCCGGCCTGAAGCAGTCAGTCCATAGTGACGACGTTACCTTCGTCACATTTCCTTCCCCCTCTCCCCAGGAAGCAGTGTCTTTTGCAACCTCCTTTTCGCTCCAATCCTTGGGTTTCTCCTCGGCTGGGACCCGTTTCTCTTCGTCACGACGGCGTTCCCCCTCCTCGATCTCCTGTTGACGAGCGCGCTGCTTTCGTTCCTGCTCCTCGAGTTTGCGCAGACGCTCCTGGTACTCCCGATCCTCCTCCTCCTCTCGCTGCTCATGTTCAATGCGTTCAGCCCTCTCAAAGTAGTCAATCTTTTTCTCCTGCTGCTTGTTTCTCGTCTCCTGCTGCCTCAACAGCCATGGCCCCCTGGTCCTTTCCAGGCATAGCCACCCCCAGCCGCGGTTCCTCTCTCTGGTCCCTCTTCTTTCCTCTCAAAATGTTCACTTCCTTACTTGGTCAAATCCCACTTCTGACACCAATTGTGAGACTGACCGTTGAGCGGCCCAGACCGAGCAAGGAGGCAGAGGCAGAACGTCCAAAAATATAACCCGACGTGGGCATTTATTCAACTTGAGCACAGGACACAGCCTCAATCCTGCTGTTCCTGTGCACACATCCTACCAGCCACAAGGATCTCACACACTACCAGCCTCCCAACAGAAACAGAGCCTAAATACACACACTAATCAGCACAACAAGACACAGGTGAAGGGGGGAGGAGACAACACAGGACACCAGGTGCACACAATTACCCGGCCTGAAGCAGTCAGTCCATAGTACCCCTTTTACCAACTGTGATAAACACATTAATGCATCAATAATTATAATTAAACATATGATAATTGATTCTGGAATGGGTTAATTTGCACATTGAGTGCTTTTACTACTGGTGTGCCCAGGGCCGTTTCTAGCTTTTTGGGGGCCCTATGCAAGATGCTGTTTGGGGGCCCTAGTTTTCACAGCTTTTTTTAACTACAATGGGGGGGATTCCGTAGCCTTTAAGATGATCTGTGGAGATGCATCTGTCAGCTGTCAGCCCAACGATGATTTGGACTTTATTACCCCAAAAACCCAAGCCACAGCTTTGCTATCATTGCAGTTTAGTCGTGTTTATATCCTACATTGGATTTGTAAGCATATAATGCTTCACCGAACACACAGTGGCGACTGGTCATTAGGGGCAGGTGGGCACAGCCCCACCTAGTGTCAGCAGAAAGTATTACAAATAATGATTACAAAAAAATGCAAAAAATAAATAACAAAATATATAAAATATATTTTAAGATCATGTTTAATCATCTGATTCGTCTGTACATTGCTGTTTTAGTCTGTGTTCTGCTAATTAGTGCCTACAGTGTGTGCCTATTGAGCTGTTTAGAGCCATGTGGGACAAAACCCGATCATGCCCCTCCCTCTCACTGTCTAAGTGAACGGTGACTGTAAAAACTACACTGCGCATGCTCAGAGTATTGTCCTATTTAATGTGTGTGGCAAAAAAATAATGACCATAGGGGCACTGAGCTGCCATCCCCACCATACGTCATCTCACATCATTCATAGCTGATTGGCTGTAAGTACGTGTGCCGCGAAAAGTGTGGTGTGTGAAGAGGAGGAGAGAGACGCGTCCTAAAACCAGGAATGGGAAGCATGGAACAATTCAATATTTAAATGATACAATTACATTTTGTGGGTATCCTTTTGTTGAACTGTCAGTTTAAGATTAATCGAAGCATCAGACAAAAAAAGGTTTTGAAAATAATATTATATTTTGATTTAGGTCAAAATATAATATTTGTAAACCTGAAGAGTCAGTGCCAGTGCCTCACCAGGCATGAACCTCACTGCAGAAGCTTATATATAGACATCTACGTTTTTTGTGCCCCACCACTTTTTGTACATATAGAAACACCACTGCGAACACAGGAGGGGGGCTTGGCTGTCTACAAATAAAGACGGCTCATTTTAATTCTCCCCAAATATATTGAGGCTGAACCTGAACTTTGAATTCTCTGCTCCCATCATAATCTTGGCGATCTTGTTAAAATTGTGAATGCAGAATTAAAAATACTATTCTCAAAAAAAACTCAATTGGAAGCACCATAATCAATTATGTACAGACTAAACTGTCAAAAACAATAGGTATTTTGCATCATACTAAGAACATTCTTGAAGAAAAGATACTCTTTATAACAGTCTATTTCTTCCTTACCTTTACTACTGCGCCGAAATATATAATACGTACTCAACAAATCTACAAAAAATAATAACATCCCAAAAAAAAGTATTACGAATAGCCTGTGGTGTTGGTAAATATGAACACACAACTCCCATATTTAAAAAACTCAATCTATTAAAATGTGTTGAGATAGTACAGCTTAAAACAGTACTGATTATGCACAACATTTTCCATAACAAAATGCCTAATAACATTCAAAAGCAGTTCCAAACCACAGCGTGAACATATATGAATGTAAAAAAAGTCACTTGAAAATAAGTGTTCACATATATGCAATTATGCATATATTATTATTATTATTATTCATTTGCCAAGTACCTATGTATATATTTATAGTATTTTAATTTCCAAAAAAAGATAGTTGAAACTGCTAGTTTTCGTATATATATATAAATATATATGCATTTATTGTTTTCCTGCCCTAACTTTTATTTAATTTTTTCTCCTGTTTTCTTTATTTCTTTGTACTCCTTCATTTCTATACATTTGACGCAATAATGCCGCTGTATTAGGATGATGCACGGGAGGGCTACTTTCCACAAGCTATGCTTCAGCCCTCCCGCTTCTACTAATTTTGTTCATCTTTGTGTGTATGAATTACACTTTTTTTGTTTTTTGGATGAATAAAAAAAAATAATACTTTCAGCTTGGGGGCCCCTTAGTGGCCGCGGGGGCCCTATGCCCCCGCATAGTCCGCATCTAGGAAGAAACGGCCCTGGGTGTGCCTACACTGTGGTAGTTTTATGTTTACTTAAGAACAATATCTGAGTGTAGTATATAATATATATACAACAGCGGGGTGGTTGAGAAATGTGCTCCATACTGACAAAGTGATGGTACTTTAATAGAGACACATTGGACATGTCCAAGTCTGCCTGTGTTTGAAGCATCTCTGATGTTCTTTGATTTTCATGATATAGCACCTCAAAATGAATGCTTAGAAAAAGGTATTTTGTCAAGTTGCAAGATAATTATTCTTCTATTTCTTTATTATTTCCTTTGTCTTGTTATTCTAAGATTCTTGTGGGCAGCAGGAGCTAAACCCAGTTGGTAAAGTAACCCATGATCCACCCACACAGGTGTGTCCACTTGTTATGTTGCCTTGTTTCACCTTCCTCACTGTGGGCGTGTAATGTTTGTGCTTGGTTCATACTCCTCTTGTCTCTTGCTGTAGGCCTAACTGTTAAAGAGGAACAATAACACCATAGCCATTGCTTCTTCAACATTCTTGTAAATGGATAAGATAGCGTGAAATACTTTTCACATGATATTGAAGTTGAACCATCTAGATGTAGATTATTTTATGTTTTGTGCTAAATTTGGCTCTGTGATGCTCTTAGATTTATTGTGACAATATACAAATATCTACATTGTCGCTTATGGTACTGAACGTTTCCGCAGATAAATCAGCAATCACTAGGGATACATTTTGAGAACATTTTATTCCTATTTCTATTGAGGGCATTTAAGGTAATCCCAACAAGCATGATCTGTCCATGAGGGGGCAGCATTACTCTGTCTCTGTAG